TGGCCGCGAGCTGGGGCGAGACGCGGCCGGGCTGGTTAGACCGGGGCGGGTGGGGGGCTCTCGTGAAAACCTTTGGCTTCCTTCTCCTGCGCAGAGCTCGGGTCGATGCCTCCCTCGTCAGTCTCTGCAAACAGCTCGTGTTTATGTTACTACAAATAATCAGCAAATTCAGAAACCCCGGAAACAAAAGCTCTTTTGTGCAGAGCCCTCCCAGCCCGGAGTGCTGCGATAAAGCCCTCGACTCCCGCGTGCCGCCCGTCCCCGAGGGGCCCGCGGCTTCGCCGCGAGTCTGTGGCGACTGAGGAGCGGCTCGATCCCGTGGGCCGAGCCAGGAGACTCGCGTTGTATGTGGGCAAGCTGTGGAAGCGAGCAGCGCTGGCGCGCTGCAGCGGCCACTCCGAGCTCCAGAGTGGCACAACAAACCGGTCCCACCGTCGGTGTCCGGGGCTGCCGAGGGACGGCGGAGCTGACACCAGGTCCCTGGGCGGGATGCGAGCGGCGCAGACCCATGGCGGGGTGCAACGAGTCAAATCCCAGTGCAGCAAGGGGGGAACTGGGCTGCACGGGGCCCTCTCGGTGGGTGCTCGCCCACGGGCGGCGGGAGCGCCGCCGGCTGCGCGGCTGCTGCAGCCACGATTTTCAGTAGGACGGTGCCACCTATAGAAAGCACCTGGAATTAATCGCTCAAGTGGCGCCGCACCGGGAAGTGTCACGTTTCCTTATGGCTCCCAGGGGATGAGCCCGGGTCGGATATTTCCCGGCGCCCGCCGCCTCTGCGTCCCCCGCGACCGCCGTCGCGCGGGGACCGGGCTAGGAGGCTGGAGGGCGACACGGGGCTCGGCCGCCTCTGCCTGACCCAGGCAGCGGGGCCGCTGCTGTCCTTCAGCACCGCCGAGCGGCCCCGCGGGGGAGAGGCTGTCCCGAGACAGCGGTGGGACCCGACAGGACGGAAACGATCCACAGAAGCACTTGCCCAGGGATCTCCTCCGAGAAAACCGAGGGACAACGATCGACGGGATCGAGAGACTGGACATAAACGCTGCGCTGCGTCTGGGGGTGTGATCCACCCCGGGGGTGTGATCCCCCCGGGGTTTCTGCCCCGGCGCGTTGGCAAATGCCGCGGAAGTTCCGCGGAACCCTACGTGGGGAGCAAGCGGCGGCTCCAAACCGAGCTCTGGAGGCGCCCCGGGAGCTGCTCTGGGCACGGGTCCCGGTCGGTGCCCTGGCCACTCCAAGAGGAGAACGGCAGGGAGAGCCTTCGCATGGAGCGGCCCATAGCGCTGGCGGGACGCTCCGAACCCGCGTAAGCGACGTCGGAGGTCGTCCCAGAGTAGGAGCTAGTCTTCGGCTGTGGCTTCAGGCTGCGAAAGCCGCGAGCAGCAGCCACCGGCTGCGGGTCAGGACACGCCGCCCTCACCAGGCGTCGAGCAGCGCTGGATCCCAGCCCTCGGTACCCCCCCGAGGGCCTCCTGTCCCAGTGCATGCCCCACTCCCGCTGTTTCCCTCGCTCCCCGCGTCCCGGTAGCTGCCGGGAAAGTCCGGCCCGAAATCGATGTCCGAATCAAGCTGAGACTAAAATGTCTCTGCAGGCTCCGGGGTTGCCGAGTGCGGCAGGGACTGCTCGGTGGCAAATCACCCGAAGCCCCCCAGCCCAGGCTCCAACCTCCGCCCTTGCTCCGAGCACTGGGAGCCCCCTGACCCCACCACGGTGGTCGGTGGTGGGGTCGGGCCCCGGGAAAAAGAGGTGGGGAACGAGGGCGGCCCTGGCCGAACGGCCCCGCCTGCAAGGAGCCCACGTGTGAGCGCAGCCCCGGCTAGGCTCTGCCTCCGGGCCCGCCCTCGCCCGGCTCCCGGCGCTGCCCGCGGGGCTGTTTCGGGACACCCGCCTCTCTCCCTGGGCCGGGCCGGGCCACGTACCGTGGATCAGGGCTCCTCTTGGCCTCGCCGCTCCGCTCCGAGTTGCTCGGAAACGAAAGGGCTGAGTTCCGGCGGCCCCGGTCCTACCGAGCCCGGGGAAGAGCTGCTGCGGGCGGCGGGGTCGACGGCGCCCGTGGGGTCCCCGGAGCTCGGCCGGTCCTGGCGAGGCAGCCCGGGACCAGCCCGGGGGCACTCAGTTGGTCTTGAGGCTCGTGGCGGCTTCGTTCAGCCTCTGCTGGAAGGAATCGTTTTCCTGCTTGGCTCCGGGTTGGAACCGGGCAGTCTTTGGGACCAGGGAATCCAGAGTCGAACCGAGCCGCTGGTGCAGCTCAAAGCGGTCGGATTGGGCCGTGCAGCCAGAGACGGACAGCTCCCACCGGCGGCCCCGTGGGTCTAGGGGAGGCTGCGGCGGCTGCGCTCCATATGCACCGGTTGCTCGTCCGAAATGCAGCCCCGTGGCTGGGATTTGTCCTGCCTGATCTCGGGGCTGCACGATGCCCCTCCCGAGCAGCATGAACGGGAACCATCGGGGTGTCGTTTTGGGGACTCAGCAGCTACGGACACTCTGCAAAATGGGGGGGTAACAGGGTCCCCGACTGGCATCGGCGGACCCTCCCCCGCCCCCCCCCCCGCCCCTCGGGGGTACGAGCTGGCCCGCCATCTGAGCACGACCGACCCACGCCGGACGCCTGGGTCTGGCGGTCAGTACAGCCTCGAAGCGCGGCCGGCGGAGCGCAGGGAAACTCTGGGGAGCCCCGGGCTCGCTGAGCGGAACCGCCCGCGGGCTTCGAGCCAGCGCCCCCGGTCCCCGCCGTCAAGGGCCCGTCCGCGCTCGGACACGCGTGCTCGTCCCGAAGTCCCCACGCCAGACACCGCGAGGCACTGCAGCCCCCCGGTTTCGTTGCAAAGCTCGAGGCTTTGGAAGACCCCGCGCAGCGAGAAACAAGGGGATAAGAGGACACTCTGCCCCCGAGGAGTCTCGCTGAGACTCGAAGCTCTCATTGAACGAGTCCGAACTAGAGAAGGGGAGATCCGGAAACAGAGGGGCGGATTTAGAGTCAAATGGGCGGAAAACGGGGGCGCATTTCCCTGCGGAACTGCACCGCCCTCGACGGGCAGGAGCAGTCCCGGTGTCTCTACGAGCGCCCGGAGTCTTGGGAAGGTCCGGCGGTGGCGGAGGTGCCGCAGTGCCCGGAGGGGGCGCGGGCACCGGCCGCCCCGTCGGACCGGGACCTCGAGCTGTGCCCTAAGGGGTTTTGCCGTTGATCCCCGGAGCGTGAAGGACGTTCTCGTTTGTGTCTCGCCCTTTCCTTGTCGCCCCGCAAGGCACTGGGGACCGCCCGCGCCCGCTCGTCGCGCCACGGGGTTGAAGATTCCTCTGCGATTCCCTCCGTGGGGTCCACGCAGGAGAGGGCGAGAGACCTGGCTCCGCTCTGCCCGTCTCCACGCGTGTCTTCAGGGGTCTGCAAGCCGCGTGGTGGTGCGCAGGCGACCAGGCACAAGGGGCTCCTTGGACGGGAGCTCCACAGCTGCAATGGGGCTCGCGTGGGAAGGCGAGGTCTCGAACAGGGGCTTCTCATTTGTCCCCGGGAGCCTGGGAGCAAAATCACAGGCAAAATAGAGACAATCTTTTTTCTTTTCCTTTTTTTTTTTTTTTTTTTTTTTTTTTTCCTCTTTTTTTCCCGAGTGCAGGATCAGGACCTCCGTGGCCACGCAGAACAACAAGTCCCTCCGCCAGCGACCTGGCTTAATTAAAAACGATTAATTCGACACTAACGGAAAAATCCCTGGGAAGCCTCTTGCTAGGGGCAGAGGATGGCATGGAGGGCGCGTCCCTACCCCGTTTGTCCATCTCCTTGCGCACCAAAGCCAGTGCCAACTCCCGCAGAGGAGCGGGAGCACCGCGCAAAACCCGCGCGATGCGGGTTATTCCTGCATGCCCGGGGCTGGCGGCAGGGCGAGGGGCTCCGCGTTCACGGAGATGCGGGCGAAAGAACTCCCGCATCCGCTCGGGAGGAGAAAATTCAGGTCTGCGCGTCGCGGCGGGAAACCAGCCCTGCACGGCCAGGACGGGAGCCGCGGCGGTGCCTCCCGGCCCTGCCGAGCTCCCCCCGCGGCCGGGGGAGGCTCCTGCCCGTCCTGCCCGGGGACGGGGCCGTGGGGACACCTGGCACCCCTACGCTTCTGGGGCTGCGTTCGCTCAGCTGGCGGGGAAGGCGGGGAAGCCGCCAGCTCCGGAACCCTGCGGATCCTTCCACTCGTGCCCAGGAGTCCCTCGTGGGACTGCAGGGCTGTCGCCCACAGTTCTGCCCACGGATGCCCATGGTCCTACCATACATGTTCTGCCGCAGCAGAGGAAGGGCTCTCCTTCGTGTCTAGGACTCCCTTTGGAGGCCAGTGCCCACGCGGGCTGGCAGGACCCGGACGGGGCTCCGTGCTGTCAAGCAGGATCCCAGGTTGCTGCTCGGGAGAAAACGATACCCAGGACAGCTGTAACGCCGGGTCCCTCCTCTTGTTACCGCCGGGCCCGGCGCCACGCAGGCTCCCGTGGGTGAGGGAGGCGAGAGGGCTGGAGCTGGCGTTTGCGTGGGTTACGTGGGCTGCCCTTCCCCTCAGCACCACTTCGGTCCCGGCCCACCGGCCCTCGGGCCCTCGTGGGGGACAGGTTCCCCGCCGCGCACGGAGCACGGACACGCGGGGGACTCGTCACGAGGGCAGAAGCGGCGGTGGGACTCGCTGGCCGCCCCGTCCCCTTCTCCATGCGGCCACCCCCCGCCCCGACGGCAAATTGCAGCCAGATGCAATAGGAAGCGCCTACCTTATTTATCTGAGAGAAGGCGCACCAAAACCTCGTCTAGAACCGTGGGGGAGGACTCGCCACGCGTGGGTGCCTCCGACATTCGATCCCCCTCAACTCCCATCAACCCTTTGCACCGGGAAGGCAAATGGAGGTCAGAGCTAAAGGAAGCCTCGCAGAGCCTTGTCACACGTGGACGGCATATTGGAAGCCCGACGGGCCTGCACGGACACCGAGAACAGGGAGTGAGTCCCAGTCGGGAACGGTTCCTCTGTGCGGGACGGGGATGAGGAGCTCCCGGGGCAGCTCCCCGGCGGCCCGGGAGGAGGAAGAGGTCCCGGACAGGATGGCAGGGAGAGAAGCGCTGTCGCAGGACGAGAGGAAGGCCGGGGGGCACGATGGGGCCGGGCTGGGCCCGGGGGGGCAGGCGCCGTCCCGGCTCGCGCCCCTCAATGCCCCGGCCACTGCTGGCATCACTCGCCCCTTCTCTGTCAGATACCTCGAGGGCGACCCCCGCCTCGAGACGGTGCCGGGCGGCCCCCGACGCCTCCCGAGCGGGCCGAAGCGCAGAGACCCGGGCTCCCCGAGTAAGGAAACCAGAAACTCGTATTATAGGCTGTTGAGGTCTACTTTATTTTTACTACCCAAACTGTTGGAAAGTATTTAAACTTAACCAGAAACAGCTGTAGCGCTGGCAATGCTTGGAGCAGCTATTTGTTACTGTGAATGGCTTTTTATGATTATGAACTTTGCTGGTTCGCTGGCTCCCAGAGTAGTGGCTTTCTTGGCAGATCTGCTCTAATGAGGTGATTTTTACGTAATCTCCGAGTCCTTCGTTAACAAATACTATTTTCTTTGTCATCCGAGCCCGCGGCCGGTTGTGCGGAGCCGCGCGGGAATGCGCGGCCGGGCCGGCCTGGCGGGGCTGCGCGGCCAGGTGCGCGCGGGGGGCCGGGCTGGGCCGAGCCGGGCCGGGCCGCCCCGCCCCGCCGCCGGTACCGCGGGCTGCGGGGGGCGGTGCCGGAGCCCCAGTTCAGGGAG